AACGCCCTTTACATTTGAAGTTCCGACTGACAACGTGTCGGGTTCGGACGTGTTTTTGCGTACTGCGTATGTCCTTTGTCTGGACCTTTTTTTTTGGACTTCCTCCTCTCTTAAGAGGAGTTTTTGCTTATATCTTACAAACCCATAAGAAACAATGGTGTTTGGGCGACTAATGCCCAACCAGCCATAAAAGAAAGAAGAAGAAGAAGCCCTTTACATTTTTTGAAGACATAACCCAACTTCTTAGGTTAAATATAGAAATAACAAAAATATATATGAAAATATTAATATATTTTATGCTCAAATACATATTTAATAATATTTATAATTTAAGAAAGAAAGATTATCTTAAAAACGTTAATATTGAAGAAATGCTATCTCTTTGAAATCCAGAGCATGCAGTGGCACGCAGTTCACACTAGAACACAGGGTCTCTAGTTCACATGTACGTTGCTTGCGCATGTGTGCGGCTTTCGTAAAATATCTTAAATGGCACGCTTGCTAAAGACTTTAGAGATATCTATGAAGAGATATCATAAAGAGCTCTTGTGAAAGATATCTTACAAAAAGATAACTTACTGATATCATTTCTAAGAAAATTTAATTAAGTCTTTAAAAAGTCCTCTTAAAGAGCTCATCCTCTCAATAATGCTCACTGGGAAGTATACTTTTTGTTAACATTATCCGATTTTATAAAAATGCTTGATATATCTTCGAAATAACAAGATGTCGTTCAAAAAGACACGCAATAACGGTTGCAGCATTGAGATAAACGAATTTAAGAAGAAAGGAGGTAAATTGTGATTGATACCTTTGAAAAGCCCTTTCGTTTTCTATTTGCAAACTTTTAATCGTTCGATATTTGATCTTTGAAGAAGAAAAATCCGTTTACGAAAAACTAAAAACGAAAATCCTGTTTCCGACTCTCACTAGAACTTGTAAGACTGGTCCAGAGTGAAGTTTGTCTCAACGCACGTCGTCAAGTGATGCCACAACGTATAGGTATAAGAAGTACAGGGTATCGATCATAGACATAGTATATCTCATAGACATAGTATATCTAGACCGAGCGTTTGCCTTTATTTAAGGAGTGGGGTAAGATGCACGTAGAAAAGGACATACTCTGTTTTGTGCTCCTTGCGTTCTCTTTCGCTCGCACGTAGCATAGCGTACTCTTTCGCTATGCTACATGCGAGTGAGAGAGAACGCAAGGGGCACGGAACAGAGTATGTCCTTTTCTACGTGCACCTTGGCCCCCACTCTTCAGCACTCGGTCTAGATATATTATGTCTATAGTATCGATCATATAACTTTTCTCCTAAGGCGAAAAAGTGAAAAGTGAAAAATTTTGCCATTGATTTCAATGCTAATATTTTTCACTTTTTACGTTTCCGCCCTAGGAAAAAAGTTACATGATCGATACCCTGACGACATTAGCCAATCGAGACGCAGTGATCCAACCAAAATACTACCAGCCAATCAGAAAATAGCAAGATACGTTCCTAGTTAAAATATTTCATCGTGATCGCTGTGTTGATTGGCTGACACTGTTATCCTTACATCACATTTTTAACTACTACACACGTTGAAAAGTATAAAACGCAATTTTTTATTTATATTATTATCATTATTATTGTGCGATGACAGCTAAGGAGGGCGGGGAGGTGTTAGAAATAAACACAAGCGGGATGCATTGGAATGCGATCTTATTAAGCTCGAAATACAAACGGCAAATTTTTTGGTTCCTTTCGAATAGATGAAGATGGATATCCTCGATATATACTTTTGATGAATAGTGTTATAAACACTGAACTATATACCATACTGGAACGCGCTATGCCCCCACCACTACTACCGCGGCCACTAAAGCCCGTATCAGACTACGCATTGAAAATTGAAGATTGAAGATTAAAGACTGAAATTTGACTAATAGCTGCAGCTTTTCAGTGCTGTCTCTTTTTACCGTGAACTACCATGACTGAAAACATCGTCCTGTCACGCAATCACACCAAATCACACGCGATCTTCGATACCACGCGAATATTTATTTCTATGCTAGATAGTTGAAAATGTTAAGAAGCAGAGAGTTAAAATAAATATGAAAAATGGTAAAGTGTATCTTAAAAAACTGCACATCAATCTATGATAATGGTTTTAGAACGGATAATACATCTGGTCACGTGGTCGACGTAGTTAGATAGACAAGAACAGGTCTGAGAAGCGACAACTCTCGCAGTCCCACATTTCTGGCCGCCAATCAGCAGAGCCGTGAGCGTTCCAGTATGTTATATAGTTCAGTGGTTATAAGTGACGCCGAAAAATAGGTTCCTTTCTATGTATTTTATTATATGCCATGGAGTAAAGTTAGTTACAACGCGTGCTCTCAAGATGGCGATACAAACGTATAAATATACGCGTCTGATATACGTATGTGATTACTATGCGCGTATAAAGCGGAAGGAATGGAGGTAAATTGTGATCGAATAGCCATCTGTTTTCTACTTGGAAAGTCCTAATCGTTGGGTTCGTGATCTGTGAGAACAAACTTAAAAAAAAAAAAAAAAAGAGAAGGATCCCGATTTCGACGCGATTCTCATTAAAAATCGGTGGCGAGTCGCGAGTGAAGTAGTTGAAACGCGTGCCGTCAAGATGGCGGCACAAACGTATACGACGTACGCGTCTGATACGCGTGCGTCAATTTGCGTGCTTGTGCGATGTAAGCAGAGCGGCTTGTGTCGTATGTTCGAAAGCGTTTCGACCGGACTTTTCTCAACATCAACAAATGAGACGCAGTGAGCGACGCGTGATCGACAAGTGCTTTCCGAGAGCGCGATCGAATGATGAATTATTTGAACAGTATAGCAGGCGGCACGACGACCGCCGACTCGGGCCTGCAGCTGAACAATGTCGAGATTCTCTACACGAAGGTGCAGAGGATTTATATCAAGCCGCAGCATAAAGAGGAACGCCAGCGGGATCTCAGAGTCAACGTCGAGATTCACGCTGGCATTAGTCCAGTTTGTCGCAAGGTAATTTAATAAAATCTTACTCTGACTTACTTTTACTCTTAGTTTTGTAAATGTTTATTGCTTTCATCTTTTAACTGTCTGTGTTTTGATGGACATAGATAGAGATTGATAGACTTCATTCTCAACAGCTTGGGTATTGGATGTTGGTTTGTCAACCATATCGAGTCTTGGTTTTTTCTTGTTTCAGAGCTTGTGCGTTTTGCTAGCCGACGACGATGATCCTTGTTTTCTCTATTCCTTATTCATCACCG